CGGCAGCGGCTGCGAGGGCACAACGAGGAGCAAGTGGGTGTACGGGAAAGTTTCTCTCAAACTCGCTCGTGTTCAGCCTCCTCGCTGCTCTCTTGGCTCGCTGTTTAGGAAGCCAAGTGTTTATTTCGGACGCCTTGCTTAGGTAATTTTTTATACGTCCCTCATCCTCTTCCACGCTTCTGTTTATGAATATTATTCCTAATGCACAATAAATAACGCGAATTCATCTTCGTGGTTTTGGCCACCAAAACGAAGGTGTTCAGACACTGAAAATCCCAAAGAATGATAAAATCCTGCTCGTTTCTCAGTGTGACATTTCTGCTTTCCGAGGTTATAATAAAAATAACCAACGTTGTTACAATTCTCCTTTGGAAGGAAGAAGAGCTGATCCCAAACCAGGGAAGCTCCACGGTTCCCTTCCTCGTTTCTTTCTAAATCCATCTTGTCCCTTTAATACAAATGAACTTCAAGCTCCCCCTGTATTTTACTATTTAGATTCCTGGTCTTAATGACGCCAGGAGCTGCGCAAGCACACTCGCTAATAATCGTCGCGAACTGCATTTCAAAGAAACATCCCTGGAAGAAAAACACCGTCGTTAAAAAAAATAAAAATAAATAGAGACTCCACCAAAAATGATAATGTGGAGTCGCTGATGATGACGGGCTTAATGCAACTGCTGCAAATCAGCACCTGCGTGCTAGATAAGGCAGATAACACCTCCAACAGTTACTTCCAGCACCCCCGTCCTCCTCGCGTTTATTTTTAGATCATTCATTTAGTCTGATGGAGGGGTTTATGGTGTTTGGATTTTTTAAAAAAATTTAATTAGCGCTCTTGTAATTTTTCTTCCCTGATCTTTAAGGGGGGGGGGAAAGTGAGTGAAGTGTGAGCTGGTTAAAGCTGGAGACGTGGGTCTATCTCGGGCCTTTAATAGCAGCTCTCGGGCTCGTCCCCAGCTCTGATAGACGAGATCTCCGCAGCCAGCACTGCCCAGGGTCAGCTTTTGTCTCTGCCACAATAAACAAACACTTGCTCCTCTCATGGAAATGAGCAGCGATCCGGATGCACCTTAAAACACTGGGAGAAGTCGTTGCTTTTGAAAACGATGTTCATTTTGTCTGACACACATAACTGCATAGATCAAATGCCTGCAGAAAGGTAGCAATTTGGCAGGGAAGTATTTTCTAAGCTTAGATGAAAGTGTGCTCACGGCGTCCGAAAATGCCTGTCTCACTTCCCACCTGCTTCCCCAGCCCCGAGTTTGCGCGAAAAGATTAGACA